TTGGAACTCTTAGCAGATCAACCTGAAGTTGAGAAATTTGAAAAATCTAAACCTGAGTATATGATTTATAGAGAGTTTGCCTTCTGGATATTTATGATCTGTTGCTTTATTCTTTATTGTACCTGCTTTTTTAAATGATAAGCTGCCCAGAGTCATTTGGAATCAGAGGAGGCTCTAAAATGTATTAAATAAATTAATTAAATGAATATAAATTGGTAGCTATATGGGGAGAAAGATGTGGTGATGATTATAACTATACATACTATTCATAAGTCAACGAACACATACTGGAATTGATTATATCTTACTATCAGGAGGACTAAAAACCTGGATGACTAGTATAGATGTAAGTCCAATTAAAATAGCAGACCATGCACCAATATAATGTAAGTTACACTAGGGAATCAATTATTAACATACCCCCACGTTGGATATTTAATTTAGTCTTGCCGATAAATTCTCAAAACTCTGAAGTTATAAAACAAACTATTCAAAATTATTTACAAGAAAATTCCAGAGAGCTAAGCAATCAGCTATTCAATACAAAGTGCTTAAAGCAGTTGCAGCAGGATAATGTATTAAAGAGCTATAATCAGACATAAAAAAGGGGAAGATTCTAAACATAAAAGCTGAAATTAATTCTATGGCTCTAAAAATATTCGTAGGCAACTAGAAATTAAAAGAAACAACTGGTGTAATTAAATTGATTACATTGTTGTTTTTAACTTTGCATGTTCCCATAGTCACTGGGAGATGGGAAGCTATATAAATTGTTTAAATAAATAAACCTATGATGTTCCTGCTATTTATTTAAGAATATTATGAGTGTAATAACAAAAATGCCACATTATTGGCACATACATTCACTACACAGTGAAAGAATGTGGTCCTGGCAACAAAATCAGACAGAGAAAGTAATCTGAGATACTCCTGGAACAATTAATGGTGAAGTTTACCATATGGGGAAGTTTAGATAAAGAATCAGACTTTAAGTAGATAGTTAGCAAAAGCTCAGCTTCACTACTTGAGATGGAAACTAGGCAGAACAATAGATTTGGAAGAACTAGAGGAAGTTTTTAAAAATAAAATAAAGCGTTTGAAACACATGGCTATAGAATAGAATTCTATAAATGCTATAAAGAATGTTCATTATCATCACTACTTCATGCTGGCAATAATATAATGATAAAAATGTAACAGATTTTACAGTCTTGAGACTGTTTTGGGATGGTTTGGAATAAAGGGGGAAATACTGTATTCTAAATACTTAGCACAGCTAAGGATAACTCACCCCCCTCACGAGCTGTGGACAAGATGAAGGGAAAATCATGGTGGTATAACAGCAAAAAAAGACATTGTCAGGGCATTTTGGGGCTGTGGGGAGAGGCCCTCAGAGAAGAGGCCCTTAGAGAAGCATGGAAGTATGATGCTAATTTAATGTCTAATGCTTGGCACTGAAAATTCTTATCATTCTTTTATTTAGCACAGGAAAAAACTAAATATGGCCAAAGCAATTTTTTTCCATCACCAAAACAGACACTTTCAAAAGCATAAACTTTGCATCTTTTCAGCAGAATATGCCTAATAAAAGGACAAGATGTGGGTACTTAATGCAAATATATGCATGATTGCAGATCTAGAAAAGTGATTAGAAGTGCAGTCAAATAACTGATGAATAGAAATGCTGCCTGGCTAGGAAAAAAAAAATAGGTAGACCTTTTATATTCAACTATGATCCCTAGAGGATAGCCATTACATTACATATTTTTGCAATGGTTTGGAATATAGCACTGTTCCATTATTATATCAACTGTATTCTATTGGCACAATGCTCAAGATTTGCACAGTAATCCAAAGTAAACCTCATTCTTATTCTGGCTGCAAAAAGGAAGTTTGATAGAAGATTCAAACATTGGATAATTATTCTAGCAAATGGAGTTCAATGTTCTTAATGTTAGGTAGATGCAAAATTCACTGTTTACTTCCTTATTTCCAACCTCTCTTATTTTAATGAAATTGTGCCCCTATTAACACACACACACATAAAATAATTTTCCTTTCATGGAGCTCTTATCTATAAGCTGGGGATATACTGAGCTGCTCTTTCATTTATTACTTCATCTGTTCTTTATGTAGATATTGTAGAAGGAGGCTCGGTCCACAGTAGCTGAAAGTCAGAAAAGTCAGGTAGCAGCTTGTTGGACTAACACATTTTGTTATACAGGTAGTCCTTGGTTAACGACCACTCGTTCAGTGACTGTTCAAAGTTATGACAAGGCTGAACGAGGGGTACTTATGACTGGTCCTTGAAGTTCCGGCTGTACCAGCACTCCAACGGTCACATGATTGTGATCTGGGTGCTTGGTAACAGGCTTGCACTAACGATGGTTGTAGCATCCTGTGGTCACATGATCACTGTCTGCAACCTTCCCTGCTGGCCTCCCAGAAGCAAAGTCAATGGAAGCCAGCAGGAAAAGTCCCAAGTGACTCCGCCAAGTTGCTTCCACTCTCCCCCACCTGGCAGCAGCCACCCCCAGCTGTGCTGCACTCGTGTTGCACTGGCTACCCATGCACCCTCCCCTGCCTGGCAGCAGCCACTTATCTGCCTGTAGGTCTGCTTGCCATCGCTAAGTGACGCAGTCACTTGCTTTACAACCATATCACTTAGTGATGGAAATTCCAGTCCCAATTACCATCGTTAACCAAGGACTACCTGTAAGGCGTAAGTTTCCTCTCACCTTCACATGCTCTACCTCTAATGTGAGATATACCATCATCTACCAGCAATGCCCCTCTGGATTCTACTTAGGACAAAAGGACATACTTGGTGCAAAAGAATGAATGGACACAAATTTAACATCAGGACTCAAGATAAGGCAAAGAAATATCAGAGTATTTCAACCTCCCAAGACATTCCATTACTGATCTCAAAGTTACAGTTTTGGAACAAAGAAACTACACAAGGAAACTTGAGCACGAGACAGCTAAGCTTAGCTTACAGTCAATAGGCCTCAGGCTATCTCAAAGGTCTAAATGATAGATTTTTAAACCCATTACAATTATTAATTAATAATGTACCTATAATCTGTGCCCTATGGAACCTCCATGTGCAAAACCATTCTGTCATCCTCCTCAAGTATTTAAATCTTACATCAGTTTAGCCATTCCATGCTTATGAAAGCTTCTGCCTTATAATAAAATGTATTAGTCATACAAAGTGCAAGCAGATTCTTTTTGACATCTGTTCTTTATGGAAACAAAACCTACAGAGTTAGGCTAATGTATGGCTCAGTATGGTCAGGTTTCTAATTTTAAAACCAAGCACTGCAGTTCTCAGCTTATAAAGATTGCTTCTGACTTTAATGTGTACAAATATTATATCCTGTGAAGCTGAGGGTTTTTATCTTAAATGAAACATAAGGTTCCAGCTGCTTAGAATACTGAACAAAGAAAAAATTAAGAGAATGACTAGCATATAACAGTATATATTAGACTATTTAGATTCTAACATAAAGGTGCTCAGTACAGTAATACTTTGAAATTTAGGTGCCTGTGAAGATGTATAGATGAAAGGCTTGCCTTATTCAAACATTCTCTATAGCACACACACAAAAAGTGAACAAACAAGGTCAATAAGCAAGGATACAGAATTCTTCATTTTATCCCCCAAAAGATGCCTGATTCACATATAATCCTAAATCAGGATTTGTTCTTCCTATCCCAGGCAACAACCCAGCACCTAATGCTAAAGAGAAGAGGCATTGGCCATTTTTCCTTTCATACTGAACACATCACAGATCAAGCTGAAAATGGGCCAATTCTAACTTTTACGTAAAATATTGCCTATATAAAACTCCCACATTTTGCAAGAAACTTTGTATACTTGTGTTATTAGGAAACACTGAAAGCAAACCAGTATTGAAAAGATAAAGGATATAAAACTGAACCCACTTAGACACTGAAGGGTTATTTTTTCCAAGGCAATCTCAATGTTGGAAAGTCCTCATACTCACCCTGCTTTCCCTTAAGGAAAATCAATATTTATATAATTTTGTGTTGCTTCAAAGATCTGCAAGACCTATTTGACCAGATGTAAAAAAATAAATAGATGTGTGTTGCCAGTAGAAAGCTCTAAAAAGTTCTGGAATTACCTCTTAAAATGTATTTAATATTACACATTTTTATTCAGAAGCAACTTCCAATGAGTTCAAATATTTTCACTCCTAAGTATGAATGAACATAAATTAGGATTGTGTCTAATTTCTTATTTTTCATGTAACACCTAAAGGTGATAATTAAATCCATCCATAGATACCCACTGTGCTATTCCCTTTTGGGGTAAGCAACATTATGCAAAGCACAGAAAAGTAGTAAGAAATAGTTAAGACAAAGAAAGTAAATGATGAGATCAGAGAGAAAAAATGAAATATACCAAAATCTAGTTTACACCAATCTGGTGATCTGTCAGAGTAGACTCCTGTAGATGGACTTTACTGCATATGCCAAACCAAATACAATTTCTAAAAATGCCCAAAACATCTTGCAAGATTTTTGTGGTCTCATTTGAAATATTGAAGACCTGGGTCTTTTCACCCAAAATTTCAGTTGGGAAACCAAATTTCTGTGAAATATTGCGATCTTGCCAAATATCAGGTACTTTTAAAAGAAAAATTACATTGATTTTATTTAAATTTGGTGTTCCCTGGATGTCATCCCAATATGTGCCTTAGTGCCCACAGACACTACATTTCTCATTCCTGATTTTTGTGGTAGTCCACAAAAGCTTAAGCCAGTGATGGTGGTCCACATAAAGAAAAAGTTGGGAAACACCAGACCACAGAGTAGGTCTCAAATACAGTCCTTTCCTACTTACTTAGAATAAAGGTGGGGGAACATCAAAGTGAGGGTTGATTCAAGCAGCAAAGAAGTCTTCCTTATACAATGAAATCAGTGAGAGCAGAATCATGTCTTTTATAATATACTTAAACCATTCTACTTACCAGCTATGTAATTCAGAAAAAGCAGCTTTAATTTTCTTTATTGAATTATCCACCTCCTCTTTGACCATCATGCGGTATCGAGTCAGTGAAACAGTGCAGCGCTGAAGATCTTTAACAGATTTCTCAATATTTGGACCTATAAGTACAAACAGCCATCATCCTTATTTAGTTCTGTGCATTTATATTCCAGCTTTCTTCCAGGAGCTTGAGGTAGGCCACCATGCACTTCCTCCTCCAATTTTATACCCACATCAACCCTGTGATTGGACTGAGAGAGGAAGAATGAATCAAAGTCACCCAGAGAGCTTTCATGGCTAGTAATGACCTCCCTGGTTCTGATTCAACACCTCAACCACTAAAACACATTGGCTCATCAACTGCTATTTCACTAACAAGCCTGATTCAAAAGAAAAAAACAAATGGATCAGTTATCTAAGAAGCAAGCACACAAATATATATACAGTACACATTCTGGATATATTTAAAAGTGATTTTTAATTATACAAACTATATTTTAAAAGTACAGTAATTTAAGAAAATAATTATAAAATTTAGAAAAAAAGAGAATCCACAAGAAAGCAGTTTTTTAAAAACTTTAAACACTATACACATTGTATCTCTAAATTATCTTGGCAATTTATATAGAAAATCACCCTTCACACCATTCCAAAACTAGTGAGAGTGTAAAAGATTTCTGATTTTAAAAAACTGCCTGATTACAATCTATTAAGGATGGAATAGAATTTTGCTTTAAAAGCCCACATTTTTTTTATAAAGAGGATGGAGAAAACCATGAGATTAAAACTAGGAAGAATCATATGTGGCAGATTCATTTACTATTTGTAGCTATTAATAGATGTGCATTAAATATAAGCTCAATTTACAGTTATTTTTAAATAGCCTAGAAATGCATTCTAGAAGTCCTAAGGATAATATTCCCTAATATATATATTGCCATTATAAATATTTATTGCAATGTTTTTTTTATCAAAACGAATAGTTATAAATAACACCTGAATTTAATTTTGAGAAAACTGTTTTAATGTTTGCTGATGTAATGTTTTGATAAATTGTTATATAATAATTCACATTTTTAAAAAATAAACTGGTTCTTGTCCATTTACATGCAAAATTAAACATGACTTGTTCTGTGAAGTCAGTGATACTATTTTCCTATCTTAGCATTCAAAATGAATAATAAATTATCAATTTCACTTAGAATATTATCAACTTACAAAGTGTAGTTATTACTCTGTAAATTTATTAACTGATCTATTTCAGTTAATTGATGTATTTGAAAATTATATGAAGAAGATATTTCAGTTGGCCGTGCATAATTGAGAAATTGTTCATTGTAAGGGACAAAAATGCAGGATTAAATTTATTCTTCAGTTTGTACTGGACATTAGGAACACTTTTTACACTGTAATAGCCAAAACAGAGGACCAAAATTTAAAACCTTGATTTTATAGCATGGTAGACCTGGAAGACTAGGATACAGCTAGATTCTTGTCAATCTTATTTCACTGTTTCACTGTGAAACAGATATAACTTATTGCATATTGCAAATGATTTAATTACAGCCTTGGCATTCCTCAATTTTTCTCTGCTTCTTTAGCAGAGAATTTAAAAAAAATCCACAAAAAACGTGTGTGGACATATGGATATTTTACAGAAGAAAAAAGATAAGAGTTACTGTCCACCAGTACGTCAAGTTTCTCTTTCTCCCCCCTTCAATTCTGAATTCTATTCTACCCTCTCCTTCACTCCACATCATGAATGGAACTGAATGTTTGATGCAGCACCACTGTTACAACCCATAACATTTTCAATTTTGTCACGCATTATAGCATTTTTCTCCTTCTGTAATTGGATGTAGATCCTTCAAAAGTAAAATTACTTCCTGATAGTTCAAAAATATTCAGTTACTCCCTATTTTGCAATATCATATCCTTGACTTGAAAACTTAAAACGTCATGTTGAATAATCCCAATATTTATTTTATGTAAAACAAATTCACTACTCTTACATCAATCCAGGGTTTCATTTAATAATTTAATTTTGGCAATGAATGGATTTTCCTCTCATGCACGTTGCCTACACTTAATCTCTGGGGATTTCCTTCTATCTTCCCTCCTTGTCCTTATTCATTTCATTCCAGTGTTAACCTCATTCAGGTTGTTCTCCCAATCTTCTGTGTATTGAGGGGGATGGGGGAATCCTAGAGGCTAAGGAGAAAGAGGCTACAAATCCACCATCATGGCCTAACTTCAGCTGGTAGAATGTTGTACAAAAGACAGAAGCCACTGGAAGAATCCCATTCATATAACCTATGTGTCAGAACCTGCATCAACCAACAATTGTTAATTTACAAAACATAGCAGTCAATGGGAGTTTGCTTGATTTGCTTCTG